TTTTTTTTTTTTTTTTTAATCATAAGTGAAAACAAGAAGCTTTCAATTTTAATTATTTTAATTGAAATACTTGTTTATCGTTTTGGAATTTAAATTATGAAATTTATTCGTGTCATTTGATTGGCTTCTCTGAGATAGCAACATTTCGATGATAACTTGGCTTTGGCTTCTTAAAAGCCACAAGTATATGACGAATAGCATTACTGTAAATTGGACAACATTAAGCAAATTTGCATAATGCTCTCGGTGTTGTTTTTTTTTTTCCTGAATATCCGGATATTCGTTTTGTGCTAGCATTTTCAGCACTGAACAAAATCGGAAAACTAAAAAATATGAACCGGATATTTGTTATGTGCAGTGAAAAAAACCGGAAATTTGGAAATATGAACCTGGAAAAGAAATATCTAGAGATATGTCTTCTGATGATTGGAACATACACTCCGGATATTATCATATCGAAAATGACCGATGCTATCTAGTTTTAGGGGCGAATCATTTAACTCCAAATGTTATTATTCCGGAAGAAAGATTGTCACCGGATTGATAGCATTTTATTACCGGATTTATAGCAACCGGAATGTGGAATAATATTTTTCCAGGCTACTTAAAATATACCCCAGAAAATGAATTCAGCCTAATGACAATTAATTACTTTGATTTTCAAACCCTTAACGTCTCTCAATACTGTCAAAATGTCTTACGTAGTGTACTTTTCTCTTTCTTTTTTTCTTTTTTACAAACTTTTGTTTTGTTATTTCTTAAAAACTTTTGTTATTTTGTTAAGCAATAACCCTCAAGCTATATTTTGTATATTTTTCTCGTAAAATACCATTCTCATTTCATTGCTATTATTCTTATCCGGTACTCTTTCTTCTCTTCTTTTATTCTTTAACTTTTTATCTCTCAAATATTCATTTCTCATCATTGCTATAACTAAAATACCTGCTTTATTACGATATGCTTTCATCGATTTACTCTTCCCCTATCTATAACACTATTTTTGGTATTCTCATTTTTCTAAATCATGATTTTTTTGTGTCTCTTCAATCTTTGATCCTTCTTTACCCGCGCTATTTCTCATTCAAATGTTATTGCAATGAGATACTATGAGTTTTTTTGAGAGTAATCTAAACCATTGACAAAATAGCTTGCACCAGAGATGCAGGATGAAATGTTTGTGTGGCATTATGTTCGGAGGCGCTATGCAAATTTGATTTCCCAGATGTCTCTTAGTAATTTGTGTTTTTTCAGTCCTTTGGTTATAACTATTTCGGTTTAGGGATTTATTACCAAAGTGCCAATTGGGTTTAGTTTCTTTACAGTTTAACTTTTCTGGATTTCCGCGATTAACGATAAGAAAGAAGGAAAAGAAAAGAGATTTGGAAAGGAACGAATGGCTGCTGTTCGACGGCATACCAAATCGTTAACCGAACTTAATATAGAAGAAAATAGAAATAATGCCTTGTAAGTATTTCATATTAGCAAAAACTTATTTATATTACAATTTAGGAAATATATGAGTGAATGTTTGGCTGTAATCACTCGTCTCTACAAATCGTTATTGTCCCATTAATCATGTTTCAATTTACACTCCAGATTAATTTGTTGAGCAAGTAACTATATAAATAACATTTGACTAATTAAATAATTTGGACTATCAAGTAGGTCTAATGAGATATTTGAATTAGTAATGAGGCAATAGTACTGGAAGTTTATGACGTTATGAATAATTTAAATAAGTGAACAAATGACTTGCTCAATGTAGTGATTAAATTAATGATTAAGTCCATACAACTCGGACAGTAGTATTGGAGTAAAATCTACATTCTTACAAAATGGGTCTACAATTTGAAAAGTAAGCAGTGTTTGGTGTTAAAAAACAATTAAGTGACACTATATTAAAGTCGCGAGTAGTGACCGGAAATGATGGGAGGTTTCATGTAGTAGACATTAGTATCATTTATATCACTGATTTCCATATTACTATCACTTTCTCATAGTGAATTTAAATTTAGATTTGTTCAAATTTGAAGTTATGAGGAATGAAATTTCCGTTACACGTCTCATCAGTAGCTTAATGGGTGAGTGAAACGTTCGAATCAGTTGGATTACCTTCCTGGTAATCTTTCATGGGATACTGAAACACAGCAGTCCTAGGGTGAGTAGTTACATGCGTGATACGGATTGGGTTTTGATTTATTAGAATTTAAACTCGTTCCCAAAGTAAAGTTTTTTTTTCACATTTTCAGGTTGAAACTTCGTGGTGTTATGTACAAATGGACAAATTTTGTATATGGATGGCAAAAACGATATTTTGAACTAGAAAATGGTGTTTTAGTATATTATAAAGCGGAATCTGAAAAGCAATACGGAATTCGTGGCGCAGTCGCATTACACGTTGCACGTCTTGTGGTTAGTTAATGAACTGTTTTCTTTTTTTTTTGCTTCTGAAAGAAAAGGTATAAAGCGGCGAATGCATGAGGTAGGACAGATAAAACTGAAAATATACACGCATAAGCATCCCATAAAAATCGTATAATATGCAATTTATTTTATCATATTTTTCGATAGTTTTCTGTTGCTATTTTCGATAGTATATCACTTTTACTGAATCACGTCATGCCTACATTTATTCCTCCCATAATTACTTATCATTATAGGAAAGTGATATTGACTGTAATCGATTTGATATACTAACAAATGATTCTTGTTGGTATTTAAGAACTCAAAGTCCAAAATCGCGGAATTTATGGTTACGTGCTTTAAGATTCCAAATGGTTCGTTATATTTTGTTGCACATATTCTTTTCCCTTAAATTTAACGTAAAAAAACTTCCATTCATTTAAGCTTGGTTTATTTATTCATATAACAATTATTGCAATATTTTGGTATTGTCCGAAGTTATTCCCAGTAAGGATCCGAAGTTTTATTTTAAGTCGTAGAATGATTCGGGTTTTTTTTTAACAGTTCGGGACAGCCAATGAACCGAAAAACCATTGTTCGATTGATGATTTGGCGCGAAATACAGATTATGGACAGTCGTCATTATCTGTAACTTTTATTATTTAAAATAAAATCAAACTAATTAAAATAGATTATGCAGAAGCAGTGGATATATAGATAGGTTTTTTTACTCGTGACTTTTTTATTCGTCTTTGTAAAGTCTGTGAAGAACATTAAAGTTAATAGAACTTATTCTGCTTGGTTATGCTGGCGGCATTTATACATTCACTTTGTTTTCTTAAGCAGTACTTATAGTTTTTAGCCCCTACTTTATGTTGTGGACAGAAATATTCGTGTTTTAGAATATTCATTACGGCATACTGATCTGAAATGAGGCTGGTTTTGTTGAATTGATTCTTGTCATTCTTCATAAAACGAAAGCTTATATTTTTGATAAAGAAGGTGTTCAGCGTATAATTAAACTGTTATTAGACAACAAAATTAAGGCTGAAACTGGAAGCAAATATTAATTGATTTAAAAGGAAGCTAGGAACATATTCTAGTTTCTTTTTTTTTTTTATTATTATTGTTGTTTTGTACACTTTAAGATGTAAATCAGTTAAAAATGTTGATTATCGTTTGGTCTCATGTCACTGATAAGGTTCAATTTTTTTGTCTTGTGGAGGTGGGTGAGGAACCACTAAAAATCACAATTTAAATAGAATAGTAGTGCCATATGAGGTAATTAATTGATATGAGTAATTTCCGTTATTTTCCAGTTAGAATTGATGAATAAAATGGAACAATTGGAACGTTTCAACGATATGATTGAACGACAAGCAGTTCGACTAGAAAAGTTAATTCATATAATCAAGGATAACAGAGAAAATACTTGTGCTACCTCTCTTCTTGATGAAAGCATTGCACTGAATGCTGTAACTATTGCCGTATTGCAGAATATTAACACATGTGTTGATTTACTCGCAAAACAGGTATTAGCAAATTTTTCAAATATTAATGCAGCCGTTCGTTGAATGTGAAGTTGGATTTGTGAAATTTTGCAGACTTTATACTCAAATGAAAATTAAAAACTAACAGAAAATTTAAATTAACAGATATGATAGTCGAATATGCCTCATTTTATTATTCTTTATTAGTCATTTCATCATTTTTTTTGTGCGTCGTAGCTTCTTTGTTCTGTAGTTTGCATTCGAGCTAGTGTTTTTGAAGACACATCAGACATTCGAAAGATATTAGACATCCGTTTGGGAAAGAAAAAATGCGCACAAATAAATAAAAGAATGGAAGGAAGAGCCATCACATTACTCATACATAAGTAATTGAAAATTCTTTATTAACTTTATTATTTAATGGTTTATTTTGGATCAGATTTTTCCATACCTGAGGAAATTTTGCAAGGAAGTAAAAGATATGGACAAAAAGGTAAATGGACGTGAATACTGTCTGTGCACATTTTAATGGGTGCAAAGTGGTCTTTGATTTCCCCTTGGATTTTTCCCTCTTTTTTTTCTGAAATATTCTCGCAGATTCAATAGATAATGCGGATGAAGGCAAATAGTCATTTTGTTTACTTTTTGCACTTACACCCCTATTGTGGCATTTCCTCTTGTTTTCCTTTTCCTCTTTGTTTGTGGACTGTTTCAGAGTATTTCTATAATATTAAAACATTGTTTCATCAGTACTAACACTTGCATGGAATTTAAATCAGGTTTTATAATAGAATATGAAGTATCAATGTTCCACTTGTTTTATCTGTTTGTTTTTTCCCTTACCCCTCAAACTGCTCCATTTTCTTTTGGTGTTCAACTTCCCGTTTGCATATGTTTTGCTGGCAGGCCATTAACTAACATAACATGTTATTTTCATGAATGATTTATTATTGTGGAAGTAAACAGAACTTAATTTATTTTATCTCAAAATTCCGAAAGAAAAAATGGGCACAATTTCTTCCTTAGCATCAAAATTAATCGAGGATTTCTGTTATTAAACATTTCCGATTAATGATGTAACGACTTGCCGTATATAGCCAAATCAGGCGCTGAATACTTACCAATAGTTCTTTTTTAATTGATCACACGACGAAATTACTGCCAACTCTTTCCAACTTGGAAAGTTTCCAACTTGAAGAGTTGTTTTTTTTTCAATTGTATACGTTAGTTAATATTTCAGTTGAACCGTCCTAACTCGTTAATTGTTTTGCACTATTCTCAATCACCAGTTGAAATTACTAACACAGAATAGCAATATGAGTTGACGATTATATCGATTGAGAGGAACTATGTCATAAATAGCCAGCTGCGAGATGGATTTACATGTAATTGCAAAAATGTTTGAGCAGTTTTGATATAATGTGCCTCTTTTTCAGGAGTAGCTCTTTTCGTATGTGGCATACGGTTCTGCAA